CTGCATTATATAAAGAATCTTTGATAGCTTTTTTGTGTTAAACAGCTTGTGTAACATCTTTCAGCAAAATGTTCAATGTAACTAACAGAATTGAACAGTTTTGCAGATACAACTTGTTGAGATAAAACGAGAGGACCTCTCACTTTAGACTAGCACATCATCTGCAAATGGGTGTTGGACAGTAGATACAACTGTCTGAAAAGTTCATGGAAATCTAATAATTAGGATCACTTTGGATAGAATAAATATTAAAATTTGAGTCTAGGAAGTTGAAATGAACATAAATCAGTGTCTGGAAAACATGAAAACTTAAACTTGGAGAAAATTTGAGTTAAGAAATTCAAAAACTACAGAACAATTTACGGTGTCTTGTAGATTTACTCAAATTATTGTACTGCAGATTCATTCAAATAATTTTTGAAATCTGAATGCTTGTAACAAAATATATCTTCTATTTTTAAATGCATTATACATACCATTTTCTATTTAATTTTGTCAGTTTTTGTGTTGTGGTTCTGATAAGATGATGAATATATCTGAATATCTGAAAAAATTTTTCATCTAAATAAATCTGTGAGATTCTTAAATTGTTTAGCATTTTTGGTTGTTAGTTTCTGTGAAAAATTAGTCAAATATTACAAGGATTATGCCACATCAATAATTGATGATTCATATTAAAGTTTCTTGAGTTCCAATTTCCAAATTTATTTATATTCTTTCTAATATTACAAAAATTAATATTTTTTTATTATTATAGCTGCCTTTTCTTATTATAATCTTTGAATGCTAGTTCTTCTAATTGTAAAGCTATTAATTTATTACTGTATATGTCTTCTATTGATAATTTATTACTTCATCAATTTATATCTTTCCACAGATTAAACCCAGTTAATAATCAAAATAATAATCTTTGATATCAGATTGTAACTTTATAAAATATTTTAATTCAGGTACAAAATTGACAATTAACATACGTGAATTTTTTAAAAAATTAACTTCTGCTAATTATAAGCTATATTGTAATCTGTCTGAAAACAGATTATAAGTGATTCTGAAATGTTATACCATCACACATTAGTGCACAGCAAGAGACAGGTAAGTATGCCGAGAATATTATAAAAGTATAGTTTAAAAATGAAAAGAAACCACCTGTATAAAGATGTGTTACATCCATAATCAACTGAAAGCTAGACTAGGCCATTAGGATAATAGTTATTCATAATACGAAGGGTATTTTTAAAATAAGGTCTGTTTTTTTAATAAGAAGAAAAATACTGTAAATATCACTAAAATATATTTTTTTCTATATTCAACTACTTTTATCTACTTTTCTACATAATTTCCATTTTTGTTCAAACGTTTGTCATACTGTTCAACAATTTTTTAATTCCGCCTTCAAAGAAATCTGTCACTTGTGAAGAAACCCAATCCATGACTGCAGTTTTCACTTCTTCATTGTCATTGACTGCTGACCACCAAGGAACTCCTTTAAGTACTGAAACAAGTGAAAATCACTGGGTGCAAGGTCTTGACTGTAAGGTGGATGATCCAGTTGTTCCTATCCAAAAGAACTGATCAGACCTTGTGTTTGTGCAGAAACGTGTAGCCTTGCATTGTCATGGAGCAACATCACACTAAAAGACAGTAAGCCATACCACTTATTTTGTATGGCACACCGGAGTTTTCTGAAGATCACACAATATGTATCAGAATTGATTGTTGTGCCTCTCAGCATAAAATCCACTAACAAAATCCCTTTCCTGTTCCAAAAGGCAGTTGCCATAATCTTTTGTGCCGAAATTGTCTGTTTGGCTTCCACTTTGGTTGGCGACGATGTGTGTTGCCATTCCATTGACTGTTGCTTGGACTCAGGAGTCATGTGAGACACCCAAGTCTCATCTCCTGTAATGATGTGGTCCAACAATTCATTTCCTTCCCGATTATTTCGAGTCAAAAACGATAAAGCACTGTCCAATCTTTTGTTTTGTGATCGTTAGAAAGCAGTCTTGGAACCCACTGAAAACACAATTTTCAATAATTCAGTTTCTCCGAAACAATGGCATACAAAACTGATCTTGAAACCTGTGGAAATTCAATTGAAAACATTGAAATCGTGAATCGTCAGTCCTCCCAAATTTTGTTCTCCACATCATAAACCAAATCTTCAGAAATCAGAGACGGATGGCCAGGGTATGGCTCATCACGCACATTAACCCACTGTCCTTGAACATTCTCATCCACTTTCGGACTTTACTGTCACTCATAGCATTATCATCGTAAACTTCATAAATCTGATGGTGAATTTCTGCTGCTGCTAAATTTCTTGCACTCAAGAATCAAATAATGGGTTGTATCTCACAGTCAGAGGGTGACTCAATTTTCTTAAACATTATAAACTTCTACAGCTCAGCACACAGACAGACAATACAGCTGCAAATTGTGTCTAAACACACACATAGCATGCTGGGAACAGATGTGCATGTGCTTTGCCGCATCATTCTCACTCTCATTCACAAATGGACCTTATTTAAAAAATAGCCCTCGTATATCTATATATATAAAATTACTTGTCCTGACTGACTGACCAATTCATCACCAGAGCAAACTGCTGAACCTAAAGAGGTGAAATTTGGTACACAGTTAGGGTANAAATAAACAAAAATATTTTGTAAGTAAATAGTTTTTATTTTCTTAAATCAATTTTGATGACTGCAATGTATTTTACATTTTAATTCCGAAATAATTTACAAAAGAGAAGAAATAACTTTAAAAATCGACAGTTGAGAAGTTCGAACTTAAGTTTAATTCTTCGATTTTGATAATGGTCATAAAGAAATTTTAATTTAAACTTACAAAGTATTACACTTAATCATCATTTCATTATTATTATATTTTTAATACATCCAGATTAAAACTGAGTTATTATCGATTATATAACTTATATTACGTTTCAATTATTTAAGATTTTACGCATACCCCTATTTGATTATGTTAAATATAGATTTTACTTTTTATTTTATAATACGATTTCTGATTATTATTTTATTTTCTTAGAAAACGGTGACAGCTTTCTGTGAACATATTTATTATCGGAAGTGTTTGATGATCGTTGCTTTTTTTCTCATTTTTAGTGCTCATTGCTCTTACTGTCCACAAGGCAACCTGTGGATACTAAGGTTTTGTCCATACCTTTTTTTTTCCGTCGTCGATTCGGCCAGGCCAATAATAATGGAGGCAGACGAGTAGTAAGGGACAGGTATATGGGGAACATATCGCCCACAAAAAATTTCTATATAGTTGCTCCACTGGTTTCGATCCCGAGTCCCCTAGACCTAGAGTGCCTTAACCTCCTCCACATTTACTGTATCGACTATCCGAATACAAAAATTTCGGATAGTCGATACAGTAAATGTAATGATAACGAGAAACTTTGATCCTTATTTGATAGTTTCTAAGACAATCTTAATCATACGAATAATTTTCTATAATTCATTTGTGGTTAAAGGGTAAGAAATTATCTTAGACCTATCAAAATAATCAAATTTTCTTGGCAACTAACGAAACTCATTCAGCAAATAATAGACTACAGAACTGCACCTTAAGTTGCTGAGAAAAAATTTATTTAAACGTAACTAACGTTTTCTACCTATTCGATAGGTATTCGATAGGCCATTCTCCTTATATACTCTATTTTTAGAACACCGTTATTTTTTNAGTTTTATACGACGAATTCTATTGACTGAATTCGTAATTATCGGATAGTCTGAAACCATACGCTGTCACTTAATTAATATCGGGATATCTAAGTTAAGTCTACCAATTTTGTAAATATTCGGACTAATCCTAAATGCGTTCGGAAACACGAATGTTTCTGTACACAATGGAAACAGGAAGTTTACGTTAAACACTTTTAAAACATGAATGAGCAGACCAGATTAGCATCTTATATGCTTATATGAACATGGAAGTTCTATTGCCGTTATATACCGAAACTTCGTCAACTGTTTTCTATGCCGAAAACAGATGAAACTAGGCTTCCTGATTCAGACGATTAGCCAATTCTCCTTCTCAAACTAGACCTACTATAAAAATTATTGCTGTTTTGGCTTATTTTTAAGAATCATATCGTTTACCCATTATAATTTAGAATATAAAAATTTCATTCATGTCTTAAGGTTTTTGTTAAAACATTATGATAAAAACATTGTTTATATTCACTTTATGAACTAGATTAATTAATTTTAACCATATTATCATTGAAGATGATATTAATACAGTCAAGTTGTACTTTTAAAATAGATGGCATTTCAAGGAATCACAAAATTTGAAAATGTTTTAAAAATTATCAAAAGTTACTTAAACTAATAAACTAAAGATGACTTTTGAGATTTGAAACTTTTTAATAACGATACATAACTATAGTGCACAAACTATGCCCCCAGGTCAAATCTGGCCTGCAAACACATTTGATACATCATTTAAAAACAATAGAAATTGGCCTAACTTTTAGTATACATTATATGGAATATATAAAATATTTGTAGCCCTCCTACTTTTGACTTATGCATAATTTGTCCTGCAAATCAAAACATTTAGACACTACCGATACATAAGATGTAATATTTAAATTAATGAATTCATTGAATAAATGTTTTGTTCTATAATATAACAAATAACGTACAATATTTAAAATGTTTTTATGTTTGTTAAACATGAACTTATTTGAAGGAATTATGTTAGTTTGCATTATTTGTATTAGATTTTTTTAAGTTTTAGGAATTTTAAGTGATGCTTTATAATATTTTATTTTGAAAACTTATGACTAAAACAATACATAATCAAGAATGATTATGTTAAAGAAAAGTATTTATAATATCACAATTCAACTCATAATTTAATACAATTTACTTACTGTTTGCAAAGTAGTAAATAAATTAATTCACAAACAATGGTTAGGCTGTAATTGTTTAACTTGATTAAAAACATAAACATTAACTTACCAATTTATTAAGTTTTTACATTCAATTACTTGTAGTTGTAGAGGATTGATCATGAATTCTATGTAAAGCTAAATCTGTCCATTTTTGCTCTTGTTCTTTAAGAGTTTCTTGAGGGTTTCCATTATCAGGTTCAGGATCAGGAAGTTCTAATGCTGGTACGGCAATATCCTCATCTGGAAGTTTGTCTTCTCTCCACTTGCTGTCAACAATATCAATTAAATGTCCTTGCCGCTGAACATCACTATCCATTATTAAATCTAAAATATACATGAATATTTAAAACTTCATAATAATAATTTAAAGCAATTAAATAGTCCGATTAATATAAATTGTTTAATTTATCTCTGGTTTTTAACCAATAGTTTAATTCAATTACAAAGTGAGGTTGAAAGATAATTTTAAGTCAATTTTATCTAAGTATTGCATCATACCATCGAGTACATGTGATTAGTCTGTCGTCTCATAAAACGAAAGTATTTAACCGCGATGTAACATCATGTAAATGAATAAACTAAACACGTGAATATAACAACCATTAAGAGGTAAGTTTATGTACATAATTTTATTAAATTAATGCTAAATATTATGCATTTTTAACGAAATAAGTTCACATAAAATCAGTTCTTAGATCAGTGTTTAGGAAACTTTTAACCACGTGGTAAAAATTTTAAACTGACGAGAAATTAAATTATAAGATGAATTTTTACGGATTAAAAATAAAATTTCTATATTTCATAGGAATATTTTATATAAATGCATATTTAAAATAATATACAGTATTTTATATATTCTAGTTATATTCTACACATACATTTATAGCTGCTTTTATCAACATATAAAATTGTTGAATATTATCAATTGACTGATATCTGAACAATTTGAAAGCATAAAATGAATATTTTTATTTTTTCCAGTTTAAAGTTGATTATTTTTATCGAATCCAAGTGAATAATATAATTTGCGAATTTTACTTCATTATTATTTCCAGATTCATTACGGTAGATACTGGTTATATTTNTAATCTACTGCTTGATTAACAATCCTTTACTTAATATTAACTTTCAATTAATATTAAACTACTCTATCATTTATTAATATAAGTGATTACATTTGTAATAGATATAATAAAAACTTAATGTTTATCTTATTGCATTATTTTCACAATAAATAAATTATCCACATTTGTAATTATTTTTCTAATTGTTTCATAAATACGACTACATATACAGAAAGATAATCTTTATGAATCACCTATGAAGTTTCATAGTTGATTAGTTTAAATACGTAGAAAACTATATGAAATGACAATTAACTTAATCATGTTTTTAGAATTATACTGCATTTTTAATTTAGTACTGTGGTTTATGATAAGTACAGTTTTCAGAAAAGAACAAAGAGAATGTCAAATTTAAGTTTAACAGGATTTATAATTTCCGAAAGTTTAAAATAATGCTGTGTAGCAATCAAAATAATATCTATTAGCCATTTTCAGTATTTTAAAACAACTTCATTTACAGTTTTCGTTATATAATAAATGATGGATAAATTACAAATACATAGAAAAATTTAAATAATTTTAATGCTTAGTTTCTTATCTGTTTATTGGTTTATTTTTTGCTTGTAAACATATTGAATTGATGTTATATTTAAATATGTGTCCTAGGAAAACATGCTGCAAATTTTGTTTAATATAACATTTAGTAGATGCATAATGCAAACACTTTTATAGTAAGATACAAAGTATTTCAAAGTATAGTATTTTAAATTTAAAACTCGATTTATTATAGGTTCTTTGTTTAATCAATATAATGTCATGGATAAAAAGTATTCAAATCTATTATCTTTTTAAGAAATATTCAGTGATATTGATTTCATGTAAAAAATGATAAATTAATATATTTCAATGCTACAATTTTGGTATATACTTGCTGAATGTATTAACTACATTCTTTTGATTATAGGGCTTTTGTTTCTAAAAGAATGGATATAATTCTAAAAATTTTAGGATATACACCCTCAAAATCACCAACTATATATTAAAAACTCCCGAGATTTAAAAATAAAACATAAACTCGTGTAACTTTTTGTCTGTTATTGCTATTTTATCATTTATAATATTCAATCATTTTTAAAATGTTAAAATTTATTAAATTACTGTATTAAAAGGATAAATCTTACGTAGATTTATACACTAATCCTTACATTTAAATTATAAATAACACATGGATCGACGAGTAGCGCCACCTCAAGGTGAAACACAGAAACCTATCAAGTTATTTGTTTTAGAAATGATATAATCTGTTATTTATATATTAAATAAACTGCTAAAATATTTTAAAATATTTTAAACTATTAGTATCAATTTTCTGAGCCGAAGAAGTGCTATTTTAAAGTAATATTTTGGACCATCCATCTACAGAAAATCAAACTTTCTGTCATGTATCCTTATCCACAAGGTCTATAAACATGTTTATAGACCTTATAAATTATGCAGGAACCATACCTGTACATGTGAGCCTTCGCTTGATATAGCTTCCGGAAATCAGCGTACAGTACTTCCGGGCTGCGATCGCAGTCACGCCGAGTTTAATTATTCAGCCCACTTGACTATGACGGCGTTTTGAATAGCCCACTTGGTTCTTCATGGAGTACTTGATGTTATATACTTAGGGGTGTGAGGCTTTGCCCCATGTGGACACTGAGGCGCGAGCGATAGCCAACACTAAGCGTACGACTATATGTGGAGCGTCGCTCGTCTTGAACGACGCGTAACCTGAAAAATAGGCAGAGTACTGGTTCAAGGTAAAAATTGTTCTCAATCAATAAAAGTTAATGAATTTATTATGTTATAGGCACCGGTTGCCATGCCTATAATTTACTTGCAAACATGACGCGCGCAAGCAAGATGGCGACCGAAACAACCGCCATTGGAGTTTCACATTTGGAAGACAATATCTAGCAAAGGATCGAGTGTCGGATTTTTCTTTATTTTTTACCGATAAATATCGTTAGAATGTCTTACCATGACGGTCTGTCTATTAAACATGCATAGGCTTAGCGAAGAGCGTGGCGTGACTCACGATCGCGCCCGGAAGTAGGCCTACGCTGATTTCAGTGGCTATATCTCGTGAACGGTCACATGTAAAGGATGGTTTCTTCGACTTTTTTGCCTCTATAGACATGGTTTATAGCTCTGTTAAGGTCCCAACAGCATCATTCTCATTCAGTGTCCATCTACAATCTTACCAAATTATATATGTATACAATCGATTACCACTTATTGTGACGCTCTCAATACATTCACTCTCAATGACGTTCGCGTAACGCTAACTTTCCGTTAGCGTTACGCGAAAGAAAAGAGTAACGAGTATTGTACAGTACATGTGGCTTGGATTTTCTAGCACACCGTGTTCAATAAATTATTTTAATTGTTATAGTTACGTCTTCTAGCATAATTTACTTAAAAGCAATAGGTTACGGTGTCAATTTAAATAGTTTTACTAAAAGACATCCAAACATTTTGAACCGATTAGCCAATCTATATACAGTAGATCCCCCTATAAAACCGTTTCCTATAGTTATGATTCCTATAAAAATTGTGGCAGTATCCGTAAACAACGGTAAAAATAACTCCTATAATACGTAGAACGTCATTGGGCAGCCGAACTACTTTCCCGCCGTCCGTAGCGCCACGCTACGGACGTTTAGGCGGATAAATTGAGTGTTTAGTATCGTCTGTTAATATATTTATATATAAATTAGGTACTGTA